AAGCTGCACTTTATACAAAATAACCCCATAATACAAAGATCCACATTATGCTAGAACTTTCGGGCAGTTGTGTGATAAACTGTCCATTTACAACACAAAGTAAAATATGCGGTCTTCAGAGCAAGAAGCTCTTAAGAAGAAACAGCTGTATACAGTTGGTAGGTCACCAAATGTTAAGTGCAATTCTGCAAGCTGCTACTCATTTTGTTAAGCTCCTATTCAGTGCCAGGGGCTGAACTCAACAGCTGGATCGTTCTCAACCCTGAGAGAGCACAGAGATGGATATGGAAGAGATGAACAAAGGAGCAAAAACGTAAAGAGTAAGCCCTGTGACGAGACAGATCAACCTGGAGCCATAGAAACGGAAAGGAATGACAGCCTGCAACAGCTGAGGAGGGCTCTTTAGAAGACAGATGCCCAGGATGGTCAACCAGCATGAGAGGCAAAGGGCAGTTCAAGTCAAGCAAATGGCACTGTGCCAAAGTGTTGGGGTTTGAGAAGCATGGCAAGTTTGAAAAATAGCAGGTACTGGGGGCCAAACAGGAGCCAGGACACAAGGACCTTGATCATCATACACAGGAGGTCAGATTGTATCCTAGATTAAATGACTTTAGGAAGGAAAGGACTGATTAGATTTCAGTCTTCAAAAGATCACCTTTGAGCCAATCAGTGTGAAGGATGAATTTGGACACGAACTTGACTAGTAGCCAAGGAGCAGGTATGATATCCAGAGACTGCTGAGGTGAAGGGGTAATGAGAGGGTTACCATAAATGGAGCCAAGGGATTTGAAGGAAGGGGTGATAGAAATTATTTCAAGAAATTTATTAATCTGAAAGTCAGAGTTACAGAGAGGGAGGTCATTCATCTGCTGATTCACTTCCCTAAATGGTTACAATGGCTATGGATGGGGCAGGCCAAAGCCATGAGCTTTATCCAGTTTCCCATGTGGGAGCAGGGACCCAAGCACTTGGATCATTTTTTGCTGCTTTTCTCAGGCACATTAGTAGGAAGTTGGATTGGAAGTGGAGCAACGGGACCGGAGCCTGTGCCCATATGGGATGCTATTGCTGCAGGCCATGGCTTAACCCTGCTGTGCATAACTACTGGCTCCAATGGAAACATTCTGAGTTGTGGGAAGTGAAGGTAACTTTCAATATACCAAAACTCACTGAGTTTTATAAAATGAGAAAATTTCATTGTGTGCATAGTCTACCTCAACAAAGTTGTTGAAAGAGACTGTGTGCAGATAGGCCTAGTGGCTAAGATGTTCTTGTCCTATGCTGGAGTACCAGGGTGCAACATTCACCTGAAGTCTCACTCCAGCTTCCTGCTAATGCACATGGTGGTAAGCAGGGGCGGGGACTCAAAAACTGGGTTCCTGCAACTGATAAGTTAAACCTGGGTTGGTTTCCTGGCTCCCGTCCAGCCCCACCCCAGAGGCTATAGCCCAGTGGATGAGAACTGTCGACCTAAAAAATAAAGAACAATTACAAAGAGACTGAAGTGCTTTAGTAAGAAGCAGGAAGGGCCAACACAGGCACTCGAGGTTTAGATTTGGCTTTGGAGAGTGTAGGAGAGGGATGATCCTGTGAACCTGCAGAAGGAGGTATGTTGGAGAAGAGGAGGACTTGGGGGCTGACATACAGGTGTGAGGACCCTGAGAAACAAGAGCAAGGTTTCCTGGACTCCCCTTTACCAGAATTTGGGGCAGGAGAACTCTTGTTGAGAGGGAAACTGCAGGATGTCTGTCAGCTTCCTTGGTTTTTCACCTGTTAAATTCCCACAGAGTATGACAACCAAAAACGTCTCCATGCATGGTCCTGAGTTGCTGGAGGGCAACACTGCCCAAGCTGAGAACCAGTTATCAGAAGTTATCAGGCCAGGTGCTGGGGTGCAGCAGGTACAGCTGCCACCTGCTATGTCTGCATCCCATACTGGAATGCCCACCTCTCAATTCATCTTCTTGCTGGTGGATACCTGTGGAGACAACAGGCAATGTCCAGAACCCCTGCCATGCATGTGGCATTCTTATCTTCTGGTTTCAGCCTGGCCCAGCCCCAGCTTTTGCAGGCATTTGGGAAATGAGCCAGTACAGGCAGGATTTCTCTCCCTCTGTTGCTCTTTCAAACAAAAATAGACAGATCTTTTTTAAAAAAAGAGAATGATCCTAACTTATGACTTTCTCCTTAAACACATGCACATAATTCATCATTTAAAAGTATACAACTGAGATTTTAAAAAATACATGTACAAAGTTGTGTAGCCCTCACTACTAACCCCGGAACATTTCCATCAGCCCTAGAAGAATCTCCAGCCCCTCTTTGCAGTCACTTGCCCTTTCACCCTACCCCAGTCTCTGGCATCGCTTTCTACTCTGTGGACCTATTACACACACGTCACAGATTCACAGCGCACATAGCTTTCTGTGCCTGGTTTCTTTCAACTGGCATGCTTTCAAAGTTCATCCACATCGTGGCAAGTATCAGCACCTTATTCTTTTATCTGGCCAAATAATCTTCCTGTGTAGTTTACCTATCATCAGTTGAAGGATGTTGGGTTGGTTTTAAACATGACGACACTATGAACATTTCGGTATGGGGCTTTTTCATTTGGGGGACTATATACCTAGCAGCAGGATTTCTGGGTCGTGTGATTTTTTTTTTTCACATGTTGAAGAAATTCCCAACTACTTCCCACGGTGGCGGCACCACTCAATAGTCCTAGCAGCAGTATCTTATAGAGTTCCGCTGTCTTCGTATGTGATCATCCTTTTCTCAAAAGGGCTTGTTTTACTCTCAAGTCTCCAAGCAATTAACATTTAATATTAGGTTACTTTGTTTATGACAATTTAGTGGATGAGAAAGCAAATGGTCAGGGCACGTTCCAAAATGAAGGTCAGTAGTCCTTTCCAGCACTGTTTATTATTCCACATTGAAAAGCTATAGAATTAGTTATAATCTGAAGCTATTCATGTTATATGCTGGTAGTCTAACATGTTTTTGCTGGTTTCTTCTATTTCCAGAGATCTTCCCATGCATCAGTACATTTACAGTACTTACTGGATCATTTCCCTTTCATCAGTAAACTTTCCCACCTAAAGATGTAATAAACAGTAGTCTTTGGCCCCACATTTCTTGCCAGAATCTATGCTATTTGTTTCTTTTTTTTTGGCAGGGGAACTCCGGGATGGCTGTCTCTTCCCTCACCATTTGCAATTCCTCTTCTGTCTTTCATTCCCAATACTCCCACAACACTTACCAAAGACTTTTAGTTTGTCAAACCCAAATGATCACTTGTTATCACTCAGCTTCTCAGCAGCTTCTGAGGCAAGTCATCAGTTGGCTTCAGGCCACTGGTCTCCTTTGCTTGTTCGGCATCATTTTGCCAACTACTGCAAGTAACTTGGGGCTCACTTCGTAGACCTTTATTCTTCTCTTCTCACCAGGAAGCATCTCAGCCTCCTATTTTCCCCTTAAACCTCCTACAATCTCCTCAATCGGGGAACAGGATCTCCTTCCTCGCATGTCCTCTGGCTGCCATCCTTGGAGTTATTCCCGACCCCAACCATCAGCGAGTGGCTCTTCTGTTTACAACCTGATCGCCTTGTGTCCTCCAAGATTTTGGTGCCAGCTGCCATTCCTCTTCTGAATTATCACTCTCACTTCTGAACGTGTTCCCTTGCTTTTGACCCTTCCCTATCAGTCTATTCACCACACAGCATGCAGTCTGACCCTTCAGGAAGGAGGCCACTTCATGGAGCCCCCTCTGGTGCTGACTCTGACCTTGGCTATGGGACTTACTTTGGACATGACAATATGAACATGAAGCCAACAGAGGTTTGAACAGCACTTGTGTAGGGCAGGCATAGGGGCATAGCAAAGCAAGCCACCTCTTGTGATGCCTGGGAGAGCCATTTCAAGTCCTGGCTACTACATCTCAGATTCAGTCCCCTGCTAACATGTCTGAGAAGTAGGCAACAATGATTCAAATAATTGGGTCATTGTCACCCAGCCAGGAGACCCAGATGAAACCAAGAGACAAAGAAAGCTCCCATCTGCTGGCTTACTCCTCAAATGGCCACAACAGTCAGGACTGGACCAGGCTGACACTGGGAGCCACAAACTCAATCCAGGTCTCCCACAAGGATGACAGAGAACTAATGACTTCAGGGTCTACATCTGTGCTGGGATGGGAAGCTGGAACTCCCATGTGATGTAGCCCCGTCCTAACAGCTAAACTAAATGCACCCCCTTCCATTTTGTTCAGAGTAAAAACCAATGTCCTAACACAGCTTACAAGGCTCTACTTGACTTGACTTCCCTAAGCTTCAGTCACAGCCTAGCTGCTTCCCACCATCTTCAACACTATCCTAGCCCAGGGCCCCTGTGCTCCCTGTTCCCATGCCTGGAATGTTCCCTCCTCAGGCAACTGCAGGGCTTGTTCCCTTCTTTCTTGTCTCTGCTGAAATGCCACCTTCTCAAACAGAATCTCATCTAACACCTGCTCACCCCTTTACCCCACTTGATTTTTCCTTTCAGTCACTGTTACCTGCATATGCACAATGTATTTTTTCCTTGACTGTCAGTCACATCCTCCTTTCAACACATACACATCACATCAGAAGCCATCAGAATGGATGTTCTAGAGGACAGAAATTTTGTCTGCCTCATCCATCACCAGGAAAATGATGGTGGCAGCAGCAGTACCTTTGCCAGTGCTAGGTTCATCTGTGTTTGTAGGGTTGAGGTGGGGAAAGTGGTGACTTTGGAGCATGTTATGCTTACTGCAGGCTGCATTCCTTCAGTAAGAGATCCAAACAGACACATTAAGAATTCAGGGACTAAGGGTGGGGTCAGCAGGGTGCTGGGTTGCCAAAGGGCCACACTGACCTCTTATCCCATTGGCCTCCCTTCTTTCCCACTGGTAACATCACTTGTCATATCACTTGTCTGTTCAACAAATGACTAGAAAGAAAACAAAAACTACCCCCACAAAATGATCAGTATAGAAATTTATTTGAATTCAAAATAATATGATTATATTTAGAATAATGTTATAATTATCTAAAACAAGTATCATCCTTGGCTCTGGAACACCTCTAAAGATGTCAGTGTTTTCAAGTTCAAAAATATATAGGAAAAAACGTATAAGCAAGTGAAACATCTGCTGGGTACTCAGAATTGTAACAGGAGGACACGCAAAGTATATTTTAACTGAGTTCAAATTATAAACCATGCAGCAACAGATTCTCTTGCTTTATCAACTCCCTGGAAAGTCAATGCAAGACCACCACCACCTGATAACGGGATAGACGTCTTGGCGGAGACATAGGTAGTCATCTGCTATGCTTCCATTTTCTAACTTCTTTCTTCACACCCATTTCTGTTCTTTCCTTTAACGTGGGTTTCATTCTGTTGACACAACATTTGGTCTCACTCGCAAAGTGGAGTAAAATATCCAGATCAAAGTATTCAACGGTGTCATCAAAGATGCTCAGGGATCAGATTTGGAAAAGGTCAATTCAGTTAGCTAGCAGAGGCCGTCAGCGCTGGCCCAAGAAAAAGATTTAAGATAATACATGTTTGCTAAACAGACAAAAAGACTAAGTAGTTAAAAATGGCTGAAAAATCCTAGAGGTTTCTTTGACCTAGACAATCAAAAGCAGACAGGTGACCTTTGATTAAACCCATGTAACTTGTGGGATGAGCTAGGGAGCAGGCTCCAGGGTCGAGTTTGGTTGCCAACAGTGTCCACAGCTGGGGGCATCCTCAGAATGTCTCCTCTTCCCGTAGAAACTGGAACACCGCTGAGAAGTCTTTGTTTGAGTAGCCCTTTGCACACATCAGCCTGTAGATCTGATGGGCCAGACTGCCCAGAAAGATTGGGCTCTTGGTGCTGGTGGCAGAGTCTTGTGCCAATCCCAGGTCCTAAGTCAAACAAAGGTGGGAGGGATACATTGAGACTGCAAGGAAAGATTCACTTGGGAACTAGGGTCCCCAACACTTAGGTTTCTAAGAAGTGAAAAATGAAGTCTGAAAAAAAATACACTCACAAGCACTGTGGTAATGCTCTAATATTTATTTCTGTTGTGTTCACATGCCAGAGAAACTGCTCTGGACAAACCCTGACTTCTGAGTGCCCCCTCCAGCCCCACCCTCCACAAGAGTTACTACACAGGTGGGAATACAGGTGGCAATGTTTTCAGATCTGTGGAAAATTTAAGACTGACACAAAATTAAAAATACTTTCTTAAATGAAACATGATGAGAAACAAAATGGCAAATGAGGAAACAGTTTCAAATATGACTATATCCATTGAATAAAGTGTGTCGGAGATACACCAGAGGCTAGGAGACAATGAGGAGCAAGACAGCTGCAGCCCAGTCAAACTCAGCCATTGAGGCAGAAAGACGAGATAAGCATTTACTCAATTTTACAGACACATTCCCATGGGAGCCAGGGAGGCAGAGTCTGGGATACAGGCAACGCCCTCCAGAGAAGAGGCAGATGAGCACAGGTGTGAAAGGATGGCAGGTGTTAGGCAAACACACGAGGGTCATGGCCAAGGAAGGATGTGAAGGAGCAATTGTGAAGACTTGCAAGTGAGAGAAAAGCAAAGGCAACGATGAGTTCAGCATGGCTGAAGCAGACAGGGAAGCAGGAAAGCCAACATGACTCAGGTGAGGCATGCAACAGTCTTGTAAGATAAAGTACGTAGCCTACAAGGAGTTGGAGACTACTGAACTTACTAGAAGAGACTGAAGCAGGATTTTACCCACTAGAAAACCTATGATTGCTAAAGTGGGGAAAGCAAACTGGAGAGCATTAGGATGAAAGGCAAGGAGAGCAGCAGTGACGTCCACAGCCCCAGACTGCTGGTGGGGGAGGAAGTGGACCCACTCAGGAAGAGCAGAGGAACCTCACCAGGAGGAAGGGAAGGGAGCGCAGGGCCAGCACAGCTTCAGGGGCAGAGAGAGTCTTCAAAAAGGCAATGAAACCGTGTGTTACACAAAAAATAGGCAGAGATTGTAAGAACCTTTGGTGCCAAAAAAAAAAAAATCAACCTTTAATTTCATTTTTTATGTGAACTTTTGCGAGTATCCTCAGGTGTACTTTTACTTTCATAATTGGAAAAAAAACGTCAGCTGGTGAGAAGAGTGCGCCACACAGACGTGTGATGATGGCTGCTGGCTGAAGGAGGATTCTCCACAGTGGAGATCCCAGGAAAGCTGACCTCAAATGAAGGCCAACAACTTGCTTTCCAAGCGACAATTAACTTACACATAAATCTACACAGATTCTTGAAGCAGGAAGCTGTACCAAGAAATCTCACATCACAAGAACAAGCTTCTCTTCTTTAGGGAGGTGGACGTGAAGCACTGATACATTAGGAATAATTAGAAAATCCTTACTGCTCTCATTCTAAGTTGCTAATTTGAGATAAATTTATGGTGAAGAACAACACTTTAGCAGCTCACATCATAAACAAACCTGAGCATGAAAGAAAATTCTTTGCCTGTCCTTCCTATCCAGATCAGGAGTAAGAACGAGCAAGGGTAAGGAATGAAAAACTCGATCACTTTACTGGTTTTGGTTTGTAGGACAGAGCCAGAGAGAGGTAACACCAATACACATGCTCTCCCTCTCTCCTGGTGAGTCTGTGCTTACCGTACCTTAGCCATGAGCGATGTTCCAAATCCACCCTGATAGTTATTAGCAGAGGGAACGCCATCCATCACCCCGGGGACAGGATTATAAGTGTCACTTGACCAACACCGTCCTGAGCTCATATTTAAGATTTTAGCCAATAGTTTTGGGTCAAGCCCTAACCTGTCAAAGGTCAAAAACAAAGAAGAGTTAAAGGTCAAAATGTACAAGTTAAGTATGATGGATCCACGCATGAGGGTGTTCCATTTTCTTCCTCCATTTATTACATGTTTTCTGAAACCAAAACAGACTGATATGAGTGAAGAATTCAATTTTGAATTGTAAGGTATTAAAAAGTACTGATTACAGTCTAGGCATTACTAGATCATTCCTGAGCTAGTCCATTTTGCATTCAGGGGAAGTCTTCTACACAACCCTACCACTAAGAAGAAATAATACAAAGCTGCATATAAATGCTTTATCACACTCAGAGGTTTCTTTTCTTTTGGACATTATGACATTTTATGTGTCACATAAGAACCTTAAACCAATATAATCATCTAAATTGCACAATTTTAATTACAAATGATATATTTCAGAAAGAAATGTTGAAAGACAAACGATACATCATGAGAATTCATCTGGGTGCATTTATGTGGGTGCTTATTCTGTTGGTTTTTATTGAGAATAAATGCAACAGAGGAGCCTTGAGTGGCAAAACAGAGTTCAGAGAAGCTACTGTTAGAAGCTACTTCTTGTTGCCGACTTTCCTTTATTTATGAAATCGTCATTAGAGAATCCTGCTTATGAGGCGAGCCTGCCCAGAACTGTGACATATGCTATCTACTTAGAGACACGCATTATGGTTCTGGGTCAGCTGCTGATAAGCTCATTGATCCTGATAAAACAAGGCTTGCCCAAGCGGAAACATCATTTGTTCCATTGCTGGGCTGACAGCCCAAGCGCCTGTTCAATATGGACCCTAGGAAAAACAGCAGCACAATGTTCTAGCACTTTGAGTTTGAGGATCGTCATGCAGTTTGGGAAGCCCAATTTTGTTTCACTGCACTGAATTTCACATGAAACTATCCCAGCAATTTGTTGGTTTCTTTCATGCAAATGGCCATTATAAAATAACTGTCATAAAAGCTTTCTGCCTTCCTTAAGACCAATTTCTTCTGGAAAAATAAAAGAGAGATTGTAAGACAATCTTAGATAAGTATAAAATGAACTGCATTGGGACAACTTGAGTTCTTGTTCACTCTGTGTTTAAGATACTTGTTCATTTCAAAATCTGAGTATCACGCCACTGAAAACATTCTAGTACAGCAGCTGGATCTACGGACTAGGCTCATATTCTAAAGACTAGGTTTTCCCAAGGATTAAGAGATATGGGAGAGTCCCTTTAAATCACCTGTCATATATCCTGTCAGCTGGAGAGGGCCAGACAGAAACACAAGCTTTTCAATCATTCTTTTCTAAAGAGCCAAGTTTGTTGCCTGTGTAGTGGGCTACTGGTGCTTTCTTTTTACCTTGCAGCTAAAATCAGGCTAGCTGTACATGTGGCACACAACTCAAGGACAGTCAGCGTGTGTAGGGCATAGCTGAAATTACGTAGTTTACTCGCTGCAATCACAAGTACATCTTCTCAGTACAAATGGTCAAGATCGCTTGTGTCTAACGTGCTCTCATGAGGAGGGAACATTTCAAAGGCTCCAAAATACCACTCTGCCCTCCACTTGAAACTCAGCGGAGGGACTTCCTAACTAGTCCTAACTTAGGGCTCAAGGTGGCAGAGCTGTCCCAGATTTGGAATCCCCCAGGTCACCCTCTGCCGTACTTCCCAAGAACCTTCCCCATTCTGCCTGCAATACTCCCCAGGTGGTGAGTAAAACTTATTTTTCTAACTTTGTAACAGCCTATATCTTTCTTAAATTTACCAGGAAATATATTGGTGCTGACTTAGGGCAACCCTTTTTAGTGAATACATTATGATTCAGAAGCATCCTGAGGGGTACACACAAAAATTAGGTGGCAGCCGTTCCTGCTCCTACTCATGTTGGCGCCATGGCTTTCGCAGGGGCAGAACCCCTCACCAAGACGGCTTTTCCCTCCCTACTTTCCTCTGTGCACCCCTCCTCTGCAGCAAAGTGTATCATTAAAAAGAGCAAGTTAGAAGTGCTTTGCATTTCATCTTCCTGAGGATTCTCTCTGGCACATACATAACTGACAGTTAAAATTAGACATGATATTAAAATCAGTTACTGAAGTCCTCTGTCTTCTACCATGCCCAAGGCTTGTAACAGTCTGAAACCAGCTAGAATACACAGTAATTGTCATTCAGAGTCTATCCTAGAACGTCATGCTTCACTGGAGAAGACTGAGTTTCCATTTGAAATCAACAAATTAATCCAAGACAGGTATCTGAAAGGGCAAGTTTAATAGGAAGCAGCTACTGGGCTCTCAAGCATGATAAAATGTTATTGCTGTTCCCTGTAAATTGGCTGGGAGCATATGATACTTCCTGCATAAGAGCCCCATGGCTGTTCAGGAGATATGCAGCTCAAGCCATCAAAAGGATGACAATCTGTCAGTCCCCATAATAACTTGCCATTGGATGTGGTTCGAGAGTGTGAGCATGCATGCATGCGACTTTACAATTGCTGGAATGTTCTCTGATATAAACAGAATGAATTCATTGCTCTGACCGCATATATAATGCAACTCAAATAAACATCACTGTGTCAAATCTACTCATCTCCAAAACACAAGAATTTTAAATCAACTTTTGGGAGTAAACAAGAGGCATAAACCATTTTTAAAAGCCTGAAGACAACCCGAATGTTTGCCTTTGTAACTATAACCAAGGTATTCAGGACCAAAAACTTTTTTGCCTTTATAATCTCCAAGTATCTATATGCCTTCTTTTTACCTAATAACAGAACAAATTAGGTTACCAAACTGGGTTGTTTGTATCACAGGAACATATATGAAAATGAACTATCTAAGATCAAGTCAATTTTAATCAATCATTCACTTACCAATGCTTGCTTAGATCTGCATGTACAAGTGCTCTGCATGGAGCCAAGACCACAAAATAAAGCAGCAAAGAGAGGCTATGGCTACCCAGCAGAAAGGGGTGCATTAAGACACACTCAGAGTCAGGCATCACAGCACAGTGACGTGGCTGCAGATCCTGGCTCCTGGCTTTGGCCTGGTTCGTCCCTGGGATTGTGGGTATTCCCAGCAGATAGAAGATCTCTCTTTCTCTCTCTTTCCATCTCTGTCACTCTACATTTAAAACTAACTAAATAAATCTTCAAGAAATATAAGGGGGCAAAAGAAATGCCACCTCACTTTAACTCACTCACCCCCTCCCTGTTCCTCACCTTCAGGCAGACTAACCTTCATTAAGCGCCTATTGTCCACTAAGGCTGTTCTTAAGACACAACCATGAGCACCCACAGCCATTACTCACCATGAAACCTACATTTAGATTGTCATCAATAAACAAACCCATACATAACACTAGCTAATGGGAAGTGCTATGAAGAAAATATAAAGTACAGTTTAGTTCTAATACCAATCATCTCTCCACAACCACAAGTACCAATAACTACCACATACAGAGAATCTCCCACATGCATTAGCTAATTTCATATTCACAGCAACCCAGTGGACAGGCACTCTTATTTTGTCATTTTATAAATGAGAAAAGCTATACTGGCAAAGTTGGGATGCAGACTTAGGCAAACCCCCAAACTTAAACCATGTGACGCAGTGAACGTCACAGTCAACCAGACAATATGCAACGGCATTTTATTCACTTAGTAGGAGATTTAGTCAAATGGTTGTTAACTATAACATTTTGCCATTTGGTATATTTAATAGGGCACAATGAAGATAGAAGAAAACAAAACCAAAGGGCAGTATTTATGGGTAATGATCAAGGAACTGAAGGAACACAGGGGTGGAGAGGTGGGAGGATCATTCATCTCAGCCAACTATCACAAGTCCAAGTGTTTCAAGCCTCTGGATGGAAGAGGACAGCATGGAGGAGCCGGAGCTTGGGGTCTGGTGGGTAACTAAAATAACACACTCTACCTACTACAAATATTTACACAAAAAAACCCAACAATGCACAGAGCAGCAAAAACCAACAGGAAATTCACGTTCTCAACATTACTTCCATGTGATGCAAACAACAAAGCCTCTCTACTGCAAGAAGGGGAATTTCACGGCCATAAAACCAGACCTCTGAGTCCCAAGCAAGAGCCAAATTACAAAGCAGAAAGGGCTAATGGGAAAGAATCTGAAAATATACTGTGTACCAATATTTTTACTGTTTATTTAACAGCATTCTAAATGTTCACTAACATGCATAAAAATTCAGTGTAAAAGAGCTACACGTTCATAAGAAGGTCAAACTGTAAGATCTTTTCTTCTAATTAAAGGAGGGAGAAAAAAAAGGGAGGAAACGGAAAAATAAACTGTCTTATGAGAACGAAATTAATCAGAACTGATCACTTCATAGGAATAGGTAACTCAATCTGTAAATGTTGACATTAATGCTCTTAAAAAATTTCACTTCAGGGTGAACAGAATGTAAATGTGGCTGAATCACTGTGATGCCACACTATTTGGCCGGAATTTACTACTTGGGAATTTATGCTTGCTGATGCCAATTTTCTCCTTCATCTTGCGAAGCCCCATAAATTGTGGCTGCTCTCTGTACTCCATTAGAGAACAATCCTGTCATTTTAAACCATGCCTGTAAACCACACAGAAAAGACAATACCAGAAGCCCTCATTTTAGGGCTTTCAAACCATGTTGAACCTCTACAAGATAAAGTGATAAAATCCAAATGTTACAGAAATAAGCAATTTATTACTACAATTTGAACCATTAAAAGTGATAAATTATTTTACCAGTTAGATAAAACTAGTGAGTTTCTGACTTATGTTCAGACTGTTAAGATTTATTTTAGTTTATGCATATCACATATATATCAGTACGTACGTGGCTTCATAAAAGTTTAACATTTAAGTTTCCTAATTCTAATTATCATTTTTGTCACATGCAGTCAAAACCAAAAATGAGAAACACTGTTATTTGTCTCTGCCCTTGACGTCTTTATTTGGAATTTTATCACTTTTCCTTTTTCCTTGAAAATAAGCCACTGTAAGAGCCAAGCATTTTCATTTGATAATGTATATTTTATTCAACTGATTTTCTTGCCTTTATTTATTTGCTGATGTTTTGATTAGAACTTCCACAAGCACCTCTCCTGCACAAAACCTCATTGTAGAAGGGCAAACGATCATCTAGTAAGAGTTTTGACGGGAAATTATTCTCAGAATGTCAGTAGATGCCTCATGGGACCAAAGGCACACAGTGCTACAGGCTGCTCAGGAGAGGGAGCGGAGTATAGTACGCGCTGATGGAGACGGCTGGGGCGGCAGAGAGGGTCTGAGTAGGTTCAACCTAGGCTCACCTGGTCACTCACCTTTCGCAACACTTGTAGTCACATGCAGAGGAGTAAAAATAAAGTTATAAAGATTTATCTGTACATGAACCCAGTTGTCAATATCAACTAATTTTGTACACTTTTTTCTTCTATAAAATTGGAGAATGGACATGAAAACAAGTTTCTAGTAACCAGTTTTGTAATTGTACATGACCCATCATCTGACACTGGCCACAGTATCTTCTGATGAGTGAATACACCTGACCCTCTGGAGAGCTCCTTACACACTACTGCTTTATGAGTGCTTCATACACATATAGCTTACCATCTTATAGACATTCAATTTTAAAATGTAAATGGTACAGGATATTGATAAACCAATTAGTGCTGATGCAAAGCAAATTCCTCTTTTATCTCAATTACAACATGACAACTTAATAGGTCAAGATAGTTTAACATCTGAGACAAGGGCAATTCAATAAAACAACAGCATCTTGATATGGTAATTAAGAGGAAATGTGAATCCATTACCATGTTTTTAAAAATATCTCAGGCACTTTGGCTCATTTCACTGCTTTTTTATCAAAAGCTATGAGACCAAACATCAGTTTGCTTTGTGATATATTGGGGAATGTGAAGAAAATATGACTAAAACATCTTGCTCATTAAGCATTTTCTAAAGAGACGTATATTATATTCATAAAATATAAGCTATTTTAAAATAATCAGATGATTAGTCATATATAATATAATCATTCCTAAACCCAAAAGACCAAAAGCTAAAATTAAGATGTTAACCTTAAGCAATCTAAAACATAAGCACCGGTAGTAAAACCAACACATCATTTTAAGCAAAGTACAAATGACATCATAGTTTAACAGAAAGATAGAGCCTACCACAAAGCAGCTGAACCACAGGCAAGCTACAGCTGTGCATATGAACTGCAGTTTTATGCATGCTATCTACTTTATCCTGTGAACCACTGAGAGCACTTTCAGCGAAAAATTTGGGGACTCTATTTAAAATAGGTACATAAAACTAGTCACATGGTAGCATGACCCTTGAATTAACTGCACATTAACACTGTGTTTTATACAGATTTGTCTCCGATACTATCAAAGTATGTTTAAGTGTTACAGAGAAAGTGTTTCTTGCATTTCAACATAATAGGAGAAATGGAGTTATATAACAAAGATAATATAATTTCAAATTGTGTGCAATTGTGTTAGTGACTATGGCAAAGAGAATCCATGTTCTCCAGGGTGCTACTGTTCATCCAATAAGCAAAGTGCAATAATGAAGTTCTAAAATGTCCCTGCACCAATTTGTTTACCTTTCATTTTAACATTTTAAATTGCCAATATATGAAATGTTTTAACAAACCTGATTCCAAGATTCATAGCTTCAGCAGTGCCAATCATGCCGATAGCTAACAGCATGTTGTTGCAGATCTTTGCAGCCTGAAAGTAAATTGAGTATATGTTAAATAGCTTTATTTTCAGTTTATAATTCACAGAAAATCTTTCATTCCCATTCTACAGGTTTCTTTCTAACAAAAATGGCCTTCAATTGTTGATTTTCCTGAGTAGACAATCATGCTGCTCTCTGAGCCTAACACTCTATCCCAGGGCAGACTTAGGGTCTCCTTTATTCAGTACTAAACCCACAGTAATGCCTTACTTCCTACTGTGGACCAGGTATACTAAAAATACCGATCTGTGTGACACAACTACTCTTTAAAGACTAAGACCATATCTAATCAGAAAATAGTCTGATTGGAAGGAATAAACTACGTGAAAAGCAAATGAAGCAAGTGGCAAAATCGAAGCACAGCCTTTAACAGCAGCAGCTAAGAGCAACAAGAGCACAGAAGGCAGGAGTGGAACCTGAAACACACCTCCAAAGGCCAAAGCAGGATTCACAAGGCAGAGAGGGAAAGGAGACCAGGAAAAAGGTCAGTGTGGTAAGAGGGATTAAAGATTTAAAAGCCCAATATGTCCCTGGCAACAGTAAGAAAACTGACTCAAATGCATGTCTTAAGAATGGTGAGAAACGGGACCAGGACTGTAGCCTAGTGGCTAAAGTCCTCACCTTGCATGCACCAGGATCCCATGTGGACACTAGTTCATGACCCTGCTGCTCCACTTCCCTTCCAGTTCCCTGCCTATGGCTTGGGAAAGCAGCTGAGGATGATCCAAAGCCTTGGAGCCCTGCACCCCCATGGAGACCCAGAAGAAGCTCCTGGCTCCAGATCAGCTTAGCTCCAGCCGTTGCTGCTACTTAGGGAGTGAACCAGTGGAAGGAAAATCTTTCTCCCTGTAGCTCCTCCTCTCTGTAAATCTGACTTTCTAATAAAAATAAAATAATTTTAAAAGAAGATGATGAGAAACTTGGTAGCTATTTGTGAGCTATGGCAGATAGGGTGGTGGGGATGGGTTTCTATAGGTTTCAAAGTTCAGAAAGGAAAGTACTGTTATGATATAAGCATTCTGGGGGAGTTCACTTTGCTTATGGTGCTGGGGAAGTGGTAGCTTTGGCATCCACAGACCCAATGGATCCTTTAAACAGCAAACCTGGTGGGAGATGATAAAAGATCATATCAGGTAATGTATGGAAGCTCAAGATGGCAAATTGCGAGAGACACTGAGGCAAACATCAACAGAGCCTGGAGATGAACTGGACAGGTACTGGAACAATAAATCTATCCAAGATAATATCAATATCTTGAGTGAGCTAAATTAGGATAAAAGCATTAACAGGGAGAATGATCAGTGAGTATGTGTTGGGAGTCACAGGAACAACTAGCTTGACTTCAGAGAACAGTACTAATATTCCTAAATAAAAATCATTTGATTTCAAGAAAAAGACTAAAAGACACAGCCTATTATTCCTGATTGTACTACAAATAGAAGAAAAACTACCTGAAGGATACTAGCAGCTCAGACAACATGAGCTTTTCAGACAGAAGCAGTTTTAAGGACGATTTTGGTAGGCACTGGGAAGACATCTCAAGATTTGATTATGTAACTTCTGATGTCTTCTTTAATTAAGTAAATCTGCCAACCATGACTGATACAAAAAAGTAACTTATCCCCAGTTAATTTAGGAAACTCTAAGCAAATACAGAATCCATAGATTGAACTAAATGAGGACTATGAATGTGGCCTGCAAAGAGAAGAGAGCATTAGTCAAGGTTACTGAATCCAAGCCATGAATGTGGAAATGTTACCTGCCCGGTCCCAACAGCTCCACAGTACACCACATTGGAGCCCATGCACCCCAGCAATTCTTTAGCAGCAGCAAATTCATCTTCGACTCCTCCTACCATAAATGTGAGGTTTCCAGACCGAGCAGCTCCTACACCTGAACCATTGGGGTTAAAGAGAGAAGAAAAACAATGAATTTCTTAAGACATTTAAGTAGATATTAAAATCACAGAAAATCCTCAAACCAAATGAAAACGTCTTGATCCAGAATCTATATGAGATCCTATATATACCTTTCTAGGAATATTTCAATAATCATGCATGGTTTGTAAATCACAAACCAAAACAGCCACACTAACTTTGTCACACTTCTTCGCAACTCATTTTAAAAATTTTGGTACAGTTATGCCTTTTTATGAGAGGTTTTCAAAAAGTTCACGGAAGGGGCCAGCACCATGGCATTGTAAGTTATACCTCCCAGCTGTTATACTTCTAATCCAGCTCCCTGATAGTGTACCTGGGAAAGCAGAAGAAGATAGCCTAAGTTTTTTTTTTAAGATTTGTTTTTATATCTTTATTGGAATAATATACAGAGAATAATATGCAGAGAGGAGGAGCTACAGGGAGAAAGATTTTCCTTCCACTGGTTCACTCCCTAAGTAGCAGCAACGGCTGGAGCTAAGCTGATCTGGAGCCAGGAGCTTCTTCTGGGTCTCCATGGGGGTGCAGGGCTCCAAGGCTTTGGATCATCCTCAGCTGCTTTCCCAAGCCATAGGCAGGGAACTGGAAGGGAAGTGGAGCAGCAGGGTCATGAACTAGTGTCCACATGGGATCCTGGTGCATGCAAGGTGAGGACTTTAGCCACTAGGCTATCACTCCAGCCCAATAGCTCAAGTCCTTGGGGCCCAGCAGACGCAGGCTCCTGGCTTTGGCCCAGCCCAGCTCTGGCTGTTCTGGCCATTGTGCACATTTGGGGAGTGAACCAGAGGATGGAAGATCTGTTTCTCCTTCTCTCTCTGTAAATCTGCCTTTAAACAATCTGAAAGTTCTAAATTTTTAAAAATTTTATGATTAAAAAAAATGCATGGACTTCAAAAAAAAATTTTCCCCAAATAAACATATTTCAGTTTCACTTTCCACAAACTATTTGATGTACCTTTGTATAAAGAAACATTTGAAATGTGAATTTTAATATTCCTTTGCAAAATACTTAATATATTTGGCAGATTTGCTTAATGCAAAATACTTAAAATATTTAATATTTCCTTAGAAAATACTGAAAAAAGTTAAGCTGGGCCCTGACAGTCCTAGGAGTAGGCACAGGGTCTGCTGTTTAAATTTGGGTTGGAGGGCCCGGCGCAGTGGTGCAAGTGGTTAAGGTCCTCACCTAGCACGCCCGGGATCCCATATGGGCGCCGGTTCTAATCCCGGCAGCCCCGCTTCCCTTCCAGCTCCCTGCCTGTGGCCTGGGAAAGCAGTCGAGGATGGCCCAAAGCTTTGGGACCCTGCACCCGTGTGGGAGACCCGGAAGAGGCTCCTGGCTTCGGATCGGCATAGCATCGGCCGTTGCGCTCACTTGGGGAGTGAATCATCGGACGGAAGATCTTCCTCTCTGTCTCTCCTCTCTGTATATCCGCCTTTCCAATGAAAAAATAATAAAAATAAATCTTTAAAAAAAAAATTTGGGTTGGAGATCTGGCTCATTTGCTGACTCAGTGACTATTACCTGCAGATGAGATCTAGAAGGAAAGAGACCTGGCTCACTGTCTCATGAACAAATAAGCTTTTGAGATGTTTAGATCCTTTTTTAAAGGGAATAAAATTTCTGTAGACTGATTATTCTCATATGCACTTACAACTTCAGTATTAGTTGAAATTTTTTTCCTTTTTATACAATATATGGGCAACTCATTCTTATTGATATGAGCAGGAAGAACAAATAAGCTTGAACAGTAAGAATATTTCAGTCCATACACTATGTAAGTTAATCAGAAACCCAAAAGGAATCATGGGCTTAACAACAGTCTTATTCTCAATTCATCTTAAACATTTTGGCACAATCACGGCACAATATGAGGAATATTCAAAATGTTGAGGGGAAAATGCATATTATATATATATATAACTTATACACAAAGACAGGCAGTCCTCAATGTCTTTTAACAAAGGCTTTATGCCTGCTTATTGATAGAAGTGATTCAAGAAACAACTTCTCACTCAGAAGAGAAAACATGGCCTAAAGGGAGAAGGGTTCGCTTGTCTCTGATTACTGTTTAGTATAGGAAGAAATCTTAATTCATAATTTTCAAGGGATTTTTGTTGTTGTTGTTGTTGTTGTTCAAACACAATAAAGTATGAGCATGTGACAGAGCTAAGCTTGTTCAATTTTTGTCTTTACAAATTCTATACCACACAGCTAGGATAAAGAAGGTGTCACACCTGGCCATGATAATAATGACAGCTACAAGTAATGGACTGTTCTGAATTTCATTTATTCAATGAAACATAGTTTAGTTTAACACTTAAAAAAAAAAAACCTCAAGTAGAAAACTCCATATTTTATTCAAATTATGAAGATTTTGCTATTGCCAAATAAAGCAACTTTTTGTTTTATGGCTTGTGCTGTTTTTAACAAATTGTTAAAAGCAGAGCAGTCTGCAGTGAGTTACTAAGCTGCCTTGGAAGAGAGCCTGCAGCTCACAAATGGTTTAGTGACATTATTTCCCAATGTCTTCACATACACTTTGTAACAGATTATGCACAAAAACTCAATTGCAAAAAAAAAAGTCTTCAATTAGTTGGTCTACATCATGGGGCATTTCAATAATGTTGACAGTAAAGTGACTGTCACTTTGTTAGTTTCCAATTTACTTAATCAAGATCCACTGACGTTTCACAATTATTCTGCTTAATTTCTTAAGCCATTTTTATTCAAACCATATCACACTTTCCCCTACTCCTGTTGCTCTGACCTAGAGATATTAAATAAACAATTTAAGCCAAAGCTTACAAACAAATCCAGCGCTATCCATCATAGGTCAGTAGCTTTGTATCTAGATTACAGACTGCTAAATAGCTTCAGAGAGTCATTTATTAAAGGAAAATTAATGCTGACAATAGTTCTCAGCTGGTTAATCTTTTGACAGGTACACTTTCTCACTTGTTCAAACACATATTTCAAAAAGAAGAAATAAGTTACTTAAGCAACAGAAGACCACAGCAGGAGGAATAATTTATCTTTTGATTCAGAGGTCCGTGGAACTCCACTGCTTCCTCCTGTCAAAGCACGATGGCAATGATTACCACCCTTACCCCAACCAAGATTCCAGTTTAAGAGTTGACTAAACTGGGTAATTCTGAAGTTTGGGCATTTCTTGGAATTAAGTCCTATCTTTCCATGGACATTCTGTTAATTGTACAATGCTGTCAAGCCTAGTTCCATGGCAACCAGAATTAACTGCAAAAAATTAAGTTCTACATTATTCAAAAATGAATATAACCATTTTGAATTTTAAAAAGAATATGTAGAAAGTTGGAACTCGAAGCTGTGAGACAGCCCATGAAGTTCAGAGGATTTTCTACAGATTTTTATGTCTCTTAATAATAAGCAATACATTTATTACAGTGTCGCGCCGCTTTAACTCAAGCCCATTTGTCAAAATACAAAAACATGGAATGCACACTCAAGTAGCTGTTAGTAAACTGGGAGAAGTATTCATTTTATTTTCACCTCTACGAATTAAATATACCCTGTGCTTAATTTTTTTATAGAGTGCCCATCTTATTAAAATCTTTGTTTTCTTACCTAACTGCTCCATTAGACCACAGCCTCTACAATGCTAGCAATAGAGTCTTGTTTATGGGCAGCATCATGTTCTCCACCACAGTGCATGATACATTCAAAAGATGATTGTTTGGTAAATTCATTTTATAATCTTGGTAGAAAGAGTAAAGGATCTTATGTGGTTTGGGGAATGTGCCAACGACTTGCTGTGTGATCATAAACAAATTATTTAACTTTTGAGTCTTGGGGTCTAGAGTGGGAAAAGCATTAATAATTTCTTTGTAGAGTGGTTGTAAATATCTCAACACACACAGTAGAACTAAAATGCTATTTAAATGTAAGGGCTTGCCACTGTGTAGCCAAATTTGTGAAACAGGCATTTGTCCATTTTGTTAGCTGAGCCACTGTTTCCCCCAGGATAATTTTAGCCTCCCTTGTGAAATACAAGCTGCTTTGGGCTGAACCTATCAACATTTGAAGCAGGCTAGCCCAGGGTTAAGAATTAGTACAGAGGACTTTGGCCAGAGGTTACATCACTGTGAACACTCCGTGCAATATCTCTCAATGGCAGCCTAGTACACGGGACAAGAACAAGTACAAAGGACTGTACTTGTTTTATTCATTTAAGACACAACTAGGGAAGCTCCAGGGTGAAGGTTGATTCCGTGTCTGCTCCCAAGAAGTTATGCACATGTGATTCAGTCACTTATCTCCTTTCTCCTTGTCTATCACTCCTCCAGTGGTCTGAGCCACTGTCAACTCTTGCCTGGGTTATTATCATAGCAATCTACTCATTCTCCCTCTACTCAATTCACAGTCTATCCTCCGTATGGCAGCCAAAGTTCTCTTGAAACGCATATAGCTTGGGATCAGTACTATGGCACAGCACATAAGGCCACTGTGAGTACCAGTTCAAGACCCAGTGGATCCACTTATGATCCAGCTCTCTGCAAATGACCTGGGAAAGTGATGGAGGACAGCTCAAGTCTTTGGATCCCTGTACCCACATGGGAGACCCAAAAGAGGCTCCTGACTTTGGTCTGGCTCAACCCTGGCTACTGTGGTCATCTGGGAAGTGAACCAACATTCTCTGTCTCTTCCAAATAAAGCAAATCTTGAAACCCCCTCCACACACAAATAAATCAAGTTCATTTTTATGCCTCACTTTCTGCCTTCCTTGGCTCCCCATCATTCCTAGTCTAAGACCCAAAGTTCTGCACAGCCCTACGTATGTGGTACTGGCATACCTTTTCCCTCACGTGGGTCCCATCCTCTCCATCATGCACTGTTTTCCAGCCACTTTGACCTCCTTGTTACTTCTCAAACAGGTCAAACACCTTCCCACCTCAAAGCCTGGCACCTGCTATTCCTCT